CTTTATTAAAAAAATACATTTCAATGTTTTTAGATAACTATATATCATATATATCAAACTATAATTAATCATAATGTGAAATACCACAAAACAATAAATTTTGAAATCACTACAAATTTAAAAAATTTATTATTTAAATTGTTTTACAATTTAAAAGTAATAATAAAAAAGCAGATTATTATTTTATTTATGAATTAATACATATAATAAAAATTCAATAACATTTCAAAATTTAACACATTAAATAAACTTCATAACACTAATATAAATTAAAATTTCTATATCAATGAAGTTCATTGCTTTTATTGTATTTTTATTAACATCCAATGGATATAAATGTGATTGTACTCCATCTGGCACCAACATTATCAATGGTTATAAGCCTGCAAATTGTAACGTGACAACATCTATTATTTGCTATTCTTCTGACTTCAAATATTCATGTCAATCAATTGATTATAGAACAATTGTTATCCTTAATAACACAAAATTGTATTCAGATTACTCTGGATATTGGCAAAACACTCAAACTCTTCAAATTGTCTCAAATATGAAATTACTTTGTGTAACCGATTTACATATCAACAAAACACTCATAATTGAATCGAAAGCCATAATCGATATGATAAAGAATACAATTACTGGGAGAATGTCAATTGCTGGAAACCTCACTTTGATTAATCCAGAATTAAACAAACCACGAATTATTATGTGGAATTCAACTTATCTCCATTTGAATTTAAACTGTTTAGGAAGACTCAATTTTGAAATTGTTAATCCAACAAACAACACAAATTGTTTTGATGTAATTTCACTTAATAACAAATCGAATATAGATACTTCTAATAATTCAGACCATATTACATCAAATATGTTTAAATATTCATTCAACTTTACAACAGGGAAAGGGTACCTCATTTCAAATAAAAAGTTAATTCGGTTTTGCCCAAACGGTACACCTTTTGACAATAATGTTGTTTGTACTTTGAAACAAAAAACATACACTTCAATTTCATCAACAACAATGGAAGGTGCGTTTGATTATCCACACTGTCCGTGTAATTATGATGTTAACGTGAATTGCAAACTCAAATTTTCAAGTGGAATTGATTTGTTTGAGATGTCTAATATCCAATTAAGTCGCACCGAATTATTGATTGATAGAAACATAAGTATGTCAAATTTAAGAGGAGCCAAATATCTTACTGTTTTTGATGATGTAAAATTGACATTAATTAATTCATCAATTAATGATATGATCTTTTCATTTTCTTTTGGGAATGTCACAACATATATCAATAATGATGAAAATAAAAATGCACAGTTTGTGTATTCGATTACATCAAAAACATTGACATGCAATGGTGATTTTGATTGCATTTTTTGATTTAAATCAAAACATCACTCAACTTCAAATTGATTGCACCGGAAGTGTCAAATTACTTCATTTGTATGAAAATACAAACATTTTTATTACAAAAAACGCAATTTTAATTCGAATAAATCAAGTCAATTTCAGTAACAATGGTAAAAGCTTTGTATTTTTAGAAAACGCGACTAAAAACAGTGTTATGAGCAATTGTCATCTTGTCGATGTAACAAGAAGTGGTTTGAAATGTGTTTCATGTCAAAATGAATATCGAATTGATAATACTATTTGTCTTCCTATTGATAAAAATTGTGAAAATTACAACAAAAACAACAAATGTGTGTTGTGCAAAAATAAGTTTGTTTTAAATGCAAATTATGAATGTGTTTCTTCTGAAAAATGTATGTATGGAACAATAACAAATTGTTACAAATGTCAAGATAGATATACAAGAAATGACACTTTGTGTATGTTGGATGACAAGTGTGAGTATAGTGATGGAAGTATTTGTATTATTTGTAAAACAGGAAATGTATACAACAAATGTGAAAATTGCACAGCACACTGTCGTTTATGTAAAAACGAGAAGTGTTTGATATGTGACAACAATTTTATTTTAAATAATGAAAGTGTTTGTGTTGAAATGGAAAGTGGAGTTTCAAATGGAATTTCGACTATTTGGTGTTATGACACTTTTTATATTGCAAATGGCATTTGTAACGACTGTACATTAAAACATGAACACTCTGTTTTGTGTAACAAAAACAATACAATTTCATGCGAAGTAGATTATAACTTTTTAAGTGAAAGATTGTGCATTTCATCAATTTGCCAAAATGAAACATTTAATGAAGAAAACGGGATGTGTAATTTACCAAAAGCAAATTGTGTATTAATTGTAAACAATAAATGTATTGAATGTGAAGATAATTACATACTTGACAATAACAATAATTGTGTGTATGTTGCAAATGACACTTTGTCAACTGGTTGTGTTTTATATAATCAATATGGGTGCATATCATGTGACATTGGATATTATTTGTCAAATACAAAATGTCATAGATGTTCTGAGAATTGCTCAAGTTGTATTGACTTAGAAACAAAGTGTCTTTCGTGCAAATCTGGTTATTATCAAGGAGAGGATTACACGTGTTTGCCAAGCACAGAATTGTTAAAT